CCCCCTCGCTTCCCCCTGCCTCAAGGTGCATACTAACTTAAAGGGATAGAAAGATATATGTTTCACTTGACACATCCACATCGAAAATAGTTTTGGCATCCACTACAGAGAAAAGGACTTGAATTCCAATTTTCTTTACCATTTCACGTTTTTTGATCGGAATTTCGCTACTATATCTTCGATTACTTTCTACGCATTGAATATTGCTGAAATGGTTTCGTACCTTTGAAGCTTCCCAAAGGTTATCGTTCGAAATTTACGGGTGTGAGGTGTGACGGCCGCGCTCGCAAAAGCGCCCTTGTCCCACGCGGTGCAAAAACCCAAAACGCGCGATGTCGTCAAGGTGTTAAATGCCTACGGTTTGGTATGAATCGCTTATGAAGCATATCTCGACGCTAAGCAATTGTCATCCTGTTATGTCAGGAGACAGGGTGATCAAAATTGCCCCTGTCCTTTTTCTGCATGTGCGCACTGTTTCTGGTGTCCATTAAAAATTGTGAAAGATTTTTTAGCTGATGTGGGAAATACGTTAAAGCGTTAAAATTACGACAATGGACTAGATTAGATTTTACTAGAATCTAGGCATAAAATGCATATGGCATCCATAAGCGGTTGTCCTTCGCCTTTTTCTTCGTTTCGCTAAACTCATGGGTGTTACCGCGGACGGTGGAACATGCTGCAAGCGCGAAGGCAGTTATGCGCGCAGTCGGTCAGTCAGTCAGTGTTCGTTCAAGTCAGATCGTCGGAAGTCAGTCGGCTGGACCAGTCAAGCGCAGTCGGTCCATCTTCGTCTCGTCAACGCCGGAGAAGCCATCTGCCCGGCACAAGTCGGTGGACCAGCGCAGTCGTCCTGACCCTAACCCTGGGCTCTTCGCACGCAACATGTCGATCATGGTATTCTCTTCTTATCTTATCCTCCTCAATGCCAGGTATGCTTAAATGTATATCATTTATGTGTTGCATCTCTTTTCTCATTGTAGTCAATTCCTGTCATCGTAGTTTACAGTCATAAAAGAGTCATAATACTCTGTGTAATAATGTGCAAATCGCAGTTGGTTTAAGCCCCATTTATTTGCTCGTAATCATAGCTTAGCGTAGTAACACATAAATCTAGTTCACCTGGGGTAAGGCCTTAATAGCCCGTGGCAAGGCATCGCAGAGCATTCAGCGCGGCAGGTGTACCCCGCGGGTGTGTGGGCACCGACAACTCCCACGTTCTGGCGTGGTCCAGGTGCGGGAACCGCCGATGCATTCTTCAGTCAGCACCTGGTCACGACAAAATTGGTGCATCGACCGCAGTCACTGTCGTCGAAAGACGGCTTTGGCTGTCGAGATCGATCCCGTTCTGTCGCGCCACGTACTTACTGTCGTTCGCATCGTCACTACCCTTCGTCCCTTCGCAAAAGGTAAGCGCATAGGCGCAGTTGGCTATTTCTCCGCCAACCTAGTAGGTTCACAAGCGCATTTTGGTCAGTTTCTCGCGTGGGCAAGTGTTGACGTGAGCGTCACGACTGGGGCTATTGCATACCGTTCACGTACCTAGAACCAGTGTTACCGTCGGGACCAGTGGCAGGGGTCCCTTCGGTATAATCCGCACAGCGCTGGTTGCACTGGCTGGGTAAATCGGGCCCGTCGTGAGTTCGTGGTGTAGGCTCCTTATGCGCCTTGCAACTATCGCAATTTGGGTAACATGGGTGCCGCTGGTCAAGGCCACCCGCCAACAAGATGGGGAGGCAGCTGTGCAGCCCGTGAGCTCCTGTATGGCCCATTGAGGCGCGGAAAGCACACTAGCACCACTGAGCATTTCATTTCATGTTAGTCTCCGCGTTGACCTAACAATAAGTTACTTTTTTGCACTGCACTAGACTGTGTCGTATCTTGATGGTTGCTCATGTTATTCTCTGTTATTCGCTTGCTTTGCCTACTCTTTTGGTAATCCCTTAATGTCACACCTCCATCCTGTCACTTTGCTATTAATGGCTTTGATACCCCGTTCCTCGTAGTTTAGCCCTTATAGTTTTTCCTATCTATCCTTGAGCTCGTTTCTATTAGGTTGTCCCATAATTAGTGAATCACTTTGGGTATTTTTGAATTCGAATTTTTTTCTTTTTATATGAAGTCTTTGCTCATCCAAACATACACCCTGTCATCTACAATGTATTGCCTATACAAGGAAATTTAGTCGCTGTCTTATCTCTAGAATTCCAGGAGCTATTGATCGAAGAAAGATCGGAAGTCGAGTTTGAGGTCATGTCACTTAGCGTAAAATTTCTTCCTGGGGAAGAGCGCTAGAGGTCAGACTGAGTTGCCTCTTGTTGGCACGAGGATAGGGCCACACAGAGGAAGTGGAAGAACGGCTAGCCTGAGAGTCTCCAATTTTTTATGAATATTCTCCGCAAGGTGGGTCGAACGACCTCAGGAAAAAAGCAGACTTTGTCTTGCTTTACTTTCAAATTGAACGCGTCGCCATTACGCTGTAGATGTTGATCTTCTTCAGTGACCCTAGTATTACTGGGCGGCGGTTCCCAGCGCATGGTCACTCTCGTGCTCCACCAATATCTCTGAAGGGTCGGACTAGAAGGAGGTTTGGCTTTTGCTGTCAGAACTCCCGAATCGTTCACGCTAGGCTACTGCTCCTTGGAGATTTGCTAGTACACTTCACCCAGTCCAGAACCCTGGTGAATATGCTGGATGATCACTGTAAGGAACTAAGGGAGATCAGAAGGAACATGATGATGTCAGATCGTGTGCGGAGCTGTTTCGGGCTCAGAGCATACAAGATACAAATTAAATATTTTAAAATCGTTACAACTCTACGTAGATGTCTGCATTCCATCATTTTAACGAATCGGGCATGCTCTAGCAAAAGGCGACTAGTTTGTCCATATCCA